GGAGATAAGTAGCTCAGGATCGAAAGCTTTAGAATAACTCTGCACAACATGTGAGAGTATCCCATTAACATCACTAACACGAGTAACTACACTGTCTGCCCAACTGGTCTTGGTATTCTTTGCATGAAAAGTGAAATTTGTCACCAATATTTCGAAAAGATTCAGTCAGTACCGCAATCTTTTTACGTTAATGCAAGGGCTGAAATTTTACAGGAAATGCAAGGGCTGACGGGTGATCTGCGCCGTGTTATCAGTACACCATTGCACAACAACTTTTCCCTACGCATTCACTTACTTGGATACGATGGCACATTGAGCGATGTTGGTTTTCGATTTTGATGAAAGAAACCCTATTCCTGAAGTTTGAAACTGAAGAAACAGGATCTGAATTTTCTTAAATAAATTTAAACTGTACTTTGAGCGCTTGAAATTTCACTGATCAAATCAAGACTGACCTTAATCTTGGGACCGTTCGGAAGTCGTCGACTGCTCTTTCAGATCGGTTACTGGGAACAGCTCACCGATGTTCACGTCAATATGTCGCATGATTCAAGAGCACAGTGGCAGCGGAATGTGCAAGTATCCGACGAGTTGAAACCTCATTTTCGGGTGACAACCATCATGGTACATTTATTGCTGTTTCTGAAAAAAAACTTACCGTACCTCTTTTGAACCGAACGAATCTGTGCTTCTCGAGAAAGTTCTGAGAGCTATTCCACCAAAACTGGTAGTACCAAAAATATCAAGATTGCCCAAGCAGCCGATGTAGGTATCCCATGTTAGCGAAGTTAATGGCTCGCCGATCTCGGGTTAGTATTCATTGCCCATTCTTTGTATGTGCGCCAACTTTTTGGGACTGCCTAAGTAATCATTTACTTTCTCATTAAAAACATACAAACATTTCGTCCTTGAGTACTACAGTATTTTTCCTGTTCAGGAACGACCATATGTTATGCTAAAAAAGAACTGGCAAGAGATGGAACCAAATTCACGACTGGAAGGATTTTGCATCGATTTGTTAGCCGAACTATCCCGAGATCTCGGCTTTACATTTACCATTCATGTTGTGAAGGATCAGAATTATGGGAATGATGTGGATGGGAATGGTACTTGGGATGGTATGATCGGTGAAATACTGCGAGGGGTAAGTACTCTCGAAAACTTGAGAAAAGGAAAATAAAACAATCATTCGAAAACTTCAAATTTCACCTTGAAGTAA